TAAGTAAGCTTTTATTTATATACCGCCTTTTCACTGCACATCGGATTCTCAAAGCGGTTTACAATTGTTGGGTGGGGGGGCCAGTACAGGAGGCACATGCCAGACCTATTCTACATATTTTTAGTGGTAGGGGAAACCGGAGCACCCGGAGGAAACCTACGCAGAAACGGGGAGAACATGCAAACTCCACTCAGAAAGGCCCTGGTCCAACCGGGATTCGAACCCAGGACCTTCTTGCTGAGAGGCGAGAGTGCTATCCACTCAGCCACCGTGCCGCAAAGTAAAATGCTAAACGCATCCCCAGATAACAGGTCACATGGACACATAATATTTGACCTGTTCTGTAGAGCAAAAAGAACAACAGTTTAAAGTGCAATTATTTATAATTAATCATTGAAAAAACAATGTACATGTTGTTCATAATTTTAATAATAATTTTGTTCACAAATTTCAAGCAGATTATCCAATCAGAGAGCAGAATGAGCCCCACATGTGGGTTGCCAGTTTGTTGGGTAGTTTTGGATCGTATTTTTGTTATTATTTTTCTAATAATATATATGTAACAAAAATCACAAAAAAACAACACAACACATAATTAAACAAAACCTGGTACACACATTTAGTAGTCAAATATCACAGGAGGAAGATTCTGACAACAAAAGTGTGATTGTAATCGTAATAACTTTATTAGGCCACTGTCTCTTTAAGTCCAGATGTGTTAATTTATGATACACAATGTGATATTTGTGGTTATTTACAATGAAACAAATATGGTACAAAAGCTCATTTTTGCAAAATCCTGGTGTTTTTACTTGAATATATTTTCACACAGTTTTTTAAAGAGTAATGTCTTCGCCCCCATAGTATATTCATGTTTATCGAAAGGGAGGAAGCCAACTCCAAAAGTCTCTGCACCACCACCACCTCGAAGGATCTCAACACCACCACCACCTCGAAGGATCTCAACACCATCACCGCCTCAAAGGATCTCAACACCACCACCACCTCGAAGGATCTCAACACCTCCACTGTCATCAGATGCAGCTGCATCATCACCAGCAGCAGCTGCATCATCACCAGTAGCAGCACCAGCAGCACGACCACCACCACCAACATCCTCATCCCCAGCCTGCTCCAAAGCAGCCACGCCTTCTTCATCTACAGCGCCTCTGAAGCCCCCATCCTCACCCCAGCCTACAGCAGACAGGCCTGTGCTGGGGTTTCCTCAACCACCTGCCCCTCCATCAAAGACTCCCTCGCCACCTCCCATGGACCTGTCTTGGGTCCCCCCTGCCACTTCCACTCCATCAAGAGAGAATGGGGACACCTCCCTTTGTTTTTCATCCCCGCCTTCACTGTTAGACCTACCTGAACACTCTGCAGGGCTAATAAAATCGGCGATGAAGAATATTCCTCTCACACCCATATTAGCTCGATCTAGAATCCATGCTAAACCACTCCCCATATGTACCTCCAAAACCACCTAGGGTTTCCAATTCACCTACAAAAACCACCTCAGCCAGTCCCTCCCCTAACCTCATGACCATTCCATCCCCACTTCCCCCTCGTTCAACATCCAAAACCTCTGCCTCAGCCCACCCCGGCCCTAACCCATCACCTAAAACCCCTCCACCTCCCTCCCCCCCTCGTTCAACACCCAAAAGCCACCCACCTCTCCATCCTCCTCCCCTGCCTTCCCCTTCCCCTCTTTTCTCTAAATACTAGGATGCACAGGGTCTCTGCTTCGCAGCCACTGGCAGTCTAGTTAGAGGAGAGACCCGGCTGGGGCCCTGTCATGAAGCCACCTGTGCAATTCCCTTAGTGATAACACAAAGAATACATTACAGAAAAACATCTGGAGTTAATCAGTCTAATCTGGAAAATCTAATTCTTGTTCCGTATAAGAATTAGCCGACCGCAACCGCTGATACTGAAACTTTGAAACTTGCTACGCTTAATGTCAAATCTCTTTGTAACAAGTCTTTTTTAATCAATAATTTTATTTGTTCTCATAATCTTGATCTTATGTTCATGGCTGAAACTTGGCTTGACCAAAATTCAGAAAATGCAGTTTTAATAGAAGCATCACCACCAAATTTCAAGTTTGAATCTGAAATACGGGAAAACAAAAAAGGAGGAGGCTTAGCTGCCATTTTTAGAGACCATTTTGTCTCCCATAGAATGTCTCTTGGGAAGTTTTTGTCATTTGAATATGTCTTTTAAAATACAACAAAAACAATCTCCTCCAATACTCTTCGTTGTCCTATACAAGCCACCGCAGTCATGTCACAGTTTTATTGATAATTTTACCGAGTTGCTTTCAGTTGTATGCACAGATTTTGATAGTTTGGTTATTACAGGTGATTTTAATATTCATGTGGATAATGTTGATGACAGAAATGCAAATGAGCTGAGTTCTGTACTTGAATCCTTTGATCTCACTCAGCACGTAAGTGGCCCCACCCACGGCAGAGGGCACACTCTAGATCTGTTAGTTACAAAGGGGGTGATTATTTCAAATGTAAACGTGGTCGATGTTGCTCTTTCGGATCATTTCTGTGTTTTTTTTGACATGTGTTTCACTAACAAACCACATGGAACTCTGCAACTGTTCGAAGAAGGCGCATAAATGAAAATACGAGTGAACTATTTATGGAAATGATAAACTTTGAGAATGCATCGTATTCTACTGTAGATGAACTGTTTAACTCTGTCACCTCTAGTGTTTTGAATGTTCTGGATACCGTTGCCCCTGTGAAGGTTAAAATAGTGAAAAATAAGCAGAAGGCGCCGTGGGCTAAAGCAGACTCGGTCAGGGCACAAAAGAGAAAGTGCCGGAGGGCCGAGCGGAAGTGGCGCAAGTCCAACCTCCAGGTAGATTAAGATAAGTTGTGCGAGTTTAACCGGGTGCTACGTAGTACGAGAGAAAGGTATTTTTCTGAAATGATTGAAGGCTGCAGCAACAATCTGCGTGTTCTGTTCTCAACAGTTAATAGATTAACAAACCCCCCTGTTCAAATGCCATTAGAGCTTACTTCCAAACGTAAATGCTTGCTAATTTTTTCAATGACAAGGTTCAAGGCATCAAAAACGCCATTGTCTCCAATCCACAGATAACCATCCAACAGCCAGAAAGGCTCTCTGAGCTAACTCACTTTGCACCTGTAAATGATAAAACTGTCCAAGAGATAATCTCCAGTTTGAGCTCCTCCACATGCAGCTTGGATGTACTACCCACTAGATTTCTGAAGTCTGTTCTGAGCAGTCTGTTACCTTCACTCACACAGATAGTAAACATGTCCCTTCATTCTGGAATATTCCCAAAGGCCCTGAAAACTGCAGTCATCAGGCCCCTGCTAAAAAAGAGCAGTCTCGATGCTACGGTACTTAACAACTATCGTCCCATCTCAAATCTGCCATTTATGGGGAAAGTCCTTGAGAAAGTTGTCTACCTACAGCTTACTAGATTTCTTATAATCAACAACTCATTTGATATGTTTCAGTCCGGCTTTAGACCCCACCACAGCACTGAGACTGCTCTCGTTAAGGTTACAAACGATATCCGGCTGAACACTGACGCAGGCAAAGTCTCAATCTTAATCTTGTTAGATCTAAGTGCTGCCTTTGACACCGTCGACCATGAGATCCTCTTACAGAGACTAGAGGACTGGGTTGGCGTCACTGGCACCGCCCTAAGTTGGTTTAGGTCTTACCTTGAAGACAGGAAGTACTTTGTGGAGATTGGAAACTGTGTCTCAGATCATATGGCCCTGACCTGTGGAGTCCCACAGGGGTCGATCCTGGGACCTCTTCTGTTCAATCTCTACATGCTGCCGTTAGGTCAGTTAATACGCAGAAACAAAGTTTCCTATCATAACTATGCAGACGACACTCAGATCTATGTCTCACTGACTGCAGGAGAACATGGACCAGTGGACTCACTCCTTCACTGTATCCAACAGATCAGTGAGTGGATGCAAAACAACTTCCTTCAGCTAAACGCAGACAAAACTGAAATTATCGTCTTTGGTCCCCAGAAACAAAGAGAGAGCGTCATCTGTCACCTACAGTCTCTCTCCCTAAAACCTTCAAACAAGGTCAGATATCTAGGGGTAATACTGGACTCAGACTTAAATTTTAATAGCCACATCAAATCAGTAACATCAGCAGCTTTTTACCATCTAAAAAACATTGCCAGGATCAAAAACATAGTGTCTAAAGCAGACCTGGAGATTCTTATCCATACATTTGTCTCCAGTAGGTTAGACTACTGCAATGGCCTGCTCACAGGTCTGTCCAAACAGGCTGTAAAACAGCTGCAGTACATTCAAAATGCAGCAGCTCGAGTCCTGACTAGAACCAGGAAGTACGACCACATTAGTCCAGTTCTCAGGTCTCTGCACTGGCTTCCTGTGGCTCAGAGAATAGACTTTAAAACAGCTCTGCTTGTGTACAAGTCTCTCCATAGCCTCGCACCAAAATATATTAGTGACATGTTAGTCCCATATGAACCAGCCCGGACTCTGAGGAGCACAGGGACTGGACTCCTGTTAGTGCCCAGAGTCAGAACTAAACATGGGGAGGCTGCTTTTCAGATTCATGCTGCTAAAATCTGGAACAGTCTTCCTGAAGATGTGAGACAGGCCTCCTCTCTGACAATGTTTAAAACCAGGTTAAAGACAGTTCTGTTTAACTGTGCATACAACTGAGGTATTTTATATTTTTATCTTTCTTTTTAATGTTCTGTGATAATTTATGATTTTAATGCTTTCTTGTTTTGTTCAGCACTTTGAATTGCCTTGTGTATGAATTGTGCTATATAAATAAACTTGCCTTGCCTTGCTTTGCCTATAAGTCACAGAGTTGTTGTTAGACGTTGAAATGAGATGAGATAAAATGAGAGTGAGAAAATGTTTGCATATAGTAAAAGGTTTGGCTGCTTTGTGTTAGCGAGGCAGAGGTCCACATATGGACATTGGCAGTGTTCAGCCCCACAGGCTTCACGTGGGCAGAGAGTGTGTGTCATAAACCGTCAGACGGGCTAGTCCTGTGGTTTTGAACAGGAAGTCAAATGACCTGCCTCCATTATCAAGCTTCAGTAGAATACTAGAAAACCCCTGATATGTGACACAAACAATTCACTCAACACTAGAACTCGCAGAACAGTCAATTTGACGCATTTTGGAAGTGTAATTATTCGGGCTGTCAAAATTATTGCGTTAACGCACATTAATACATTTTTAAATTAATTGCATTAAAAAAATTTACGCATTTAACACTCAGAAGTGAGGCTCACAGGCACAATAAACCCTCCTACTCTCCCCTACGCTCTCCTCCCACGGAGCCATGTAGTTTTAGTAGTGACCTGACAGGCAAACATTAACATTAGCACAACTTCTTATTAGCAGTACAACAATCACTGAAGAAATGGTACAAAAGCAACACACTGCTAACATAATATACAGTACAATAACTGAAAGATTACCGCTAGTTTCGCGTCCAAATGTAGTCCAAGCATAGATAGTCCGAGCATAGATAGTCCGAGCATAGATAGTCCGAGCATAGATAGTCCGAGCATAGATAGTCAGAGCATAGATAGTCAGAGCGTAGATAGTCCGAGCGTAGATAGTCAGAGCATAGATAGCCAGAGCATAGATAGTCCGAGCATAGATAGTCCGAGCATAGATAGCCAGAGCATAGATAGTCAATCAATCAATCAAATATTTATTTGTAGAGCACATTTAAAACAGCCTAGGCTTACCAAAGTGCTGAACAGACAGCGAGGAAAAATTATAAAATAAAAACACATAAAATACAGAAATGTATATACAAAAAGAAATCGAAAAATTTGTCTCTGTCTACTTGGTAGTAAAAGCCAAAGAAAAAAGATGCGTTTTAAGCAGGGATTTAAAGTGCTCGAGTGATTGTGCAGTTCTGATGTGCAAAGGTAAAAAGTTCCACAACTTTGGCCCTATAACAGAGAAAGCTCTGTCTCCTCTGGTCTTCAGCCTGGTCCTAGGGACGACAAGAAGGTGCTGATCTGCAGAGCGCAGTGCTCTGGAGGGAAGGTGAGGCTGGAGGAGTTCATATAAATAAGAAGGTGCCATTCTATTAAAACTTTTAAAAACGATAATAAGAATTTTAAAATGAATTCTAAAATATACCGGGAGCCAGTGCAGGGATTGCAAAACAGGAGTGATGTGCTCCCTGCGCTTTGTCCCTGTTAAAAGACGGGCTGCTGCATTTTGCACTCCCTGTAAGCGGCTGAGCTGGGCCTGGTCAATGCCGACATAGAGAGAGTTACAATAATCAAGCCTGGAAGTGATAAAAGCATGAATGGCCTTCTCAAAATGGGCATGTGGAATATAAGATTTTACTTTGCTAAGAACTCTGAGATAATAAAAACTTGTTTTAAGAACAGCATTTATCTGCTTATCAAATTTAAAATGGCTGTCAATAATAAATCCTAGATTCCTGGCGTGGGGCTTTTCATAAACCATAAGAGGTCCTATAGCACTGTCACAGTTCAGCAGAGGGTCAGAAGTCCCAAAGGTAAGTATTTCTGTTTTCCTGTTGTTTAAACTAAGGAAGTTATCTTGCATCCATTCCTGAACTTCCTTCAAACAATCAACAAGTGTCTGTACACAGCTGCTAGTCTGAATGGGCAGATATATTTGGACATCATCAGCATAGCAGTGGTAGGAAATATTATGCTTCTCAAATATAGCTCCTAAGGGAAGCATGTAAAGACAAAATAGGGTAGGGCCCAAAATACTGCCTTGGGGCACTCCACACTTTAAATTGGACGCTTGAGAGGAGAACTGGCCAAATTGAACAGAAAAGGTTCTCTCAGTCAGATAGGACTGGAACCATTTAAGTGCAGTTCCTGTGATGCCCACTTGTTGCTCGAGGCGTGCAATAAGAATATCATGGTCCACCGTATCGAACGCTGACGATAAATCTAGGAGAACTAGAGCAGAAGGGCGGCCTGAGTCTGAGACTGAATAAAGATCATTAAGAACTCTAAGAAGAGCAGTCTCAGTACTATGCTTGGCTTTGAAACCTGACTGAAACTTCTCAGTGATGCTGTAAATATCAAGATGGTCCTGTAGTTGAACGAGAACAACCTTTTCCAAGATCTTAGAAATAAAAGGCAACTTTGAGATGGGCCTATAATTCGACAAGCATGTAGGGTCAAGATTGTGCTTTTTAAGAAGAGGTTGTACCACGGCATGTTTAAGTGTGATAGGTACACATCCTGAATTTAAAGATGCATTAATTATGTTAAGGACCCAAATCCCCACTGTGTTGAACACCTCCTTAAACAGACGAGATGGGATGGAGTCAAGGGGACAACAAGACGGGCGTAGCTTTTTTACAATGTCTGTCACAAATGCTAAGGACACATTTTCAAAACACTCAAATACATTTTGACAGCCATTATCTATATTCATAAAACTGGGCTTACACAACGGAGACTGCCTAATGGAGGCAATTTTGTCATTAAAAAATACAATAAAATCATTGCATAGTTTGTAAGAGGCCACTACAGGGGGAGAAGTGCATGGATTAATCAAAGAGGTCAGTGTATTAAAAAGAACCTGGGGTTTGTGGCAATTGATAGTAACAACGTTGGACAAAAATTTAGACTTGGCAGTTTTAACTGCTCTCTGATATGACTGTAGACTGTCTTTCAGCATGTCCAGCGACACCTGCAGACGGTCCTTTTGCCAGCGTCTCTCCGCACGTCTGCAGATGCGCCTCAGAGCCCGTGTTGTGTCATTAAGCCAGGGCTCAGCTTTAGGCTTTACGCATTTGACTCTGGATGGGGCTACGAGATCAATAATGCTTGAGCATGTAGCGTTGAATAAAGAGACCATGTCTTCCACAGCTAAATCACTGCCGCAGTCGTTGTTCAGTATAAAGTCAGAGAAAGCCAACGAAAATGTGAGTGCAGTTTGCAAGTTGCATGTGCGCACTTTGCGCGCAGGGGCACACGGCTTAATGTTAGATTTTGGAAGCGTCAGAGTAAAGAGCACGGCGTAGTGATCTGAGATACCCGTGTCACAGATATCAATAATCTCCAGATTCAGACCAAAAGACAGCACAAGATCGAGCGTATGTCCCTTTTCATGTGTTGGGCCAGGGACCAGCTGTGCCAAGTTAAACGTTTCTAAAACATTTAAAAAGTCCTTGACTAATGGTTTAGACTCGCAGCACACATGGATATTAAAGTCACCAGCAATAATAAAACAGTCATATTTCAGCACGAGCCCTGTAACAAAGTCTGTGAATTCCTGAATAAAATCCTTATGAATTTTAGGAGGACGATACATTAAGGCACAGATGACAGGAGCGCGTTCAAGCATAAATGTTTGTAATTCAAAGCTTGAAAAGCTTTCAGATGGAATTTGCTTGCATGGAAACGAGTCTTTAAACACTGTGGCAAGCCCACCTCCCCTACCACTAGTACGCGGGGAGCTAATGAATGAGTAGCCTGGTGGAAGGAGTTCGGAAAACGCCGTGGACTCACCAGCTTGGACCCATGTCTCCGTGAATAAAGTAATATCCATATCCCGTGTCGCGATCAGGTCGTTGAGAAGAAAAGTCTTATTTGTTAGCGATCTAACATTCATGAGGCCCAAGCAAATAGTTACGTCCTCGTGGTGAAGCGAGGAGGAGCGGGCGAGAGGCCGGAGTGCACCGAGATCCACTCTGCGTTGGTCGCCTCTGCGTCTCCTCAGGACGAGCGTCTCCAGTGGCAGGTGGCACGAGCGCATCTGCGCGGCCTCTGGAGCAGGGAAGATGGGTAGAATCCAGCGCAGACCTGGGAAGAGTCTGTGAGTGGAGCCTCCGCGGGTGAAGTAAGTTGAAGAGCTGTATGCTTTGGACAATCTCAATTCGACCAAAAGACCAGCACGTCTACCGCGCCTTCTGGGACGCTTTTTCTGCATTGGGACTGGCACACGCCAAAGGTACGCTGGGACACTGGACAGGTGCGGGGGTAGACTCCACGTTGTTTGTTCGGAATCACATTTAGCCGTCCAACTTTGTGCAGTTTGAATATCAAGAAGAGTTTGTCGATCATACACCAATAGAGCAGAGACATATTTTCGGTGAAAACATAATAATAAGATGACATGTATTAAAATGAATAGAGTCGATAGGCGACCGGCCACACACGCTGGCGCCATCTTGATCCAATAGATAGTCCGAGCATAGATAGTCCGAGCATAGATAGTCCGAGCATAGATAGTCCGAGCATAGATAGTCAGAGCATAGATAGTCAGAGCATAGATAGTCCGAGCATAGATAGCCAGAGCATAGATAGTCAGAGCATAGATAGTCAGAGCATAGATAGTCAGAGCATAGATAGTCCGAGCATAGATAGTCCGAGCATAGATAGTCCGAGCATAGATAGTCCGAGCATAGATAGTCCGAGCATAGATAGTCAGAGCATAGATAGTCAGAGCATAGATAGTCCGAGCATAGATAGTCCGAGCATAGATAGTCCGAGCATAGATAGTCAGAGCATAGATAGTCCGAGCATAGATAGTCAGAGCATAGATAGTCAGAGCATAGATAGTCAGAGCATAGATAGTCCGAGCATAGATAGTCAGAGTTTAGATAGTCCGAGTTTAGATAGCCCGAGCATAGATAGTCCGAGCATAGATAGTCCGAGCATAGATAGTCCGAGCATAGATAGTCCGAGCATAGATAGTCAGAGCATAGATAGTCCGAGCATAGATAGTCCAAGCATAGATAGTCCGAGCATAGATAGTCAGAGTTTAGATAGTCAGAGTTTAGATAGTCCGAGCTTAGATAGTCCGAGCATAGATAGTCAGAGTTTAGATAGTCCGAGTTTAGATAGCCCGAGCATAGATAGTCCGAGCATAGATAGTCCGAGCATAGATAGTCCGAGTTTAGATAGTCCGAGTTTAGATAGTCCGAGCGATAGTCAGAGCATAGATAGTCCGAGACGGTCCCGCTCCTGCAGGTCTCTCTCATAGACAACTCTCTCCAGAGGATACGATGTAAGCTAACGCTAGCTATGTTCATCCGGGATTCCACTGTAAACACTTGGACAAAAATATTCAGAAACTATTTGATACAATTGAACAAAATGACCATTGCAAGTAGAACCATCCAGGTCTTAAAACACAAAAAAACCCTATATTTTTTTATTTTCCGACCCCATTTTTCCGACTGCAACAAAAAGCATGAACTGGACCACTGACTTCCTGTGTGACTGTAACCCGCTCTGATTCGCCATGACGTCATGTTAGCGATATCGTGTTACCGCTCGGGAGTACAGACAGTGGTTTACTTGAACAAAACGGTAATCGATCCTGGGCCAGAGCGACCTGACCGCACGGAACGCAGATATAAACGTCACTTAGGAGACGTTTTATGGCAAACATCTGCTTGTAAAAAGGCTGCGTTCTGATTCTATAGGAGCATTTGGACGCAGTGATGATGTGCCGTGCATATCTGTCAGAAATTACTTTAGCACAAGTTTGAGAGTTTAAAGCCCCATAGAGCAAACCTCCTCGGTCGGAAAACAGACCTAGCTTAACGTATGATATGTTTGAAATATGTTTTGATATGTGGGATGTTTTTATTGCTCTGAATAAACAGTCTAAACATGCGTCCATACTAAATGTTTTTTATTTACATTTCTTTAGTGTGTCATCTTCATTAGTTCACACTTTCTTCCCCATAATATATACAGAATACAGAATATATAGCTCTAAGGTCAGTTGTAATCTATTGTTTATATTTTTCCATCAATGGCAAATGTGAATATACATAAATACAGTAACTGACTGGATTGCTGAGATTCTGGGCTTTACAACTAGGGATAACGCGTCTATTTGGGTGGAGCTGAAGTTGATTGGATGACGCTATGAACTCTTGTTTATGATTTCAATGACTACTTTGTGTTATCAATGCAGAGGGCCACATAATATGACACTGAGAGCCGCAATTGGCCCACGAGCCTTAGTTTGAACAGGCCTGATCCAAACTATGTAATAAAATAAACAAGATGTCTGTATCCAGTCCCACCGTATCCCTCTTTGCTCTGCCCCTGTTGGCAGCCGAAACATGGTCATATCAAAAGGTCCTGCAGGCTCCGCTAAGACCACAGAGGAAGACAGTGAGCTGGGAAAAATGAAAGAACAAAAAAATTGTGAAAAAGAGTGTGAGTCACAGTGGCGTTCAGAGGAGTCAGGGGGAGATATGTCGAATATTCTGTCATTTACCAAACATGCAAGGATCGCTCTCAAAACATGATCTGTGTTGAGTTATTTTGAATCTGTAAACAGGCAAGGCAAGTTTTTTTGTATAGCACAATTCCTACACAAGGAAACTCAAAGTGCTGAACAAAAGAAGACAGACACAAGGCATTAAAATCATAAATAATCACAGTACATTAAAAAGAACGACAATAAAACCCCTCAGTTGTATGCACAGCTAAATAATGTATTTTGTGTGTGTGTGTGTGTGTGTGAATGTATGTTGCCTGCATATCTTAAGACGGGGAATGTCTTAATGTTGTATCACTGTTGTAAATATGTGTTTTAGAGCTGTCTATTTTATTCCTTCTGTATAGTGTGTTGCACTGCAGGGAAAAGTTCAACCAGGGACAGGAGATGAAAATTAGCTTTAGCTACACACCATAACCATGTACGGCTACATTGTCCCTGTCAAATATATAAATAAGTTACATTTGTTCATCTGTTTAAATGCAGCTGATGAAGGGAGTGCTGATGGGTTTGATGTAGGGAGGGTGGGAGGTGGGATAGTGATCCGAGGGGACTTTCCAATCTTCCAGTCTGAATTTTCACTTCAGTTCCATACCTGAGTGTGCTGTTAAATTACAAAGGAACAACAATAACATATTTGAAAGCTGCGAGAAGTGTATTTTGGGGATATTTCCCATTTAAAAGTTATGGAGTATCTTCTAAAGTGGATGTTCTTCGCTCGACCGTGACTCGATCTTAGCAGTGCGCCTAAGAACAGACAAAAGACAGTTTTTGTTGTTGTTACTAAATGTATAAAGAAACCAAAACAACAAAAAACGCTTTACTACATTTTAGTTGTTGATCATTTAAGTAATTTTCCAGGAATTCTAGCTTTTTTTTTGTTCAGGAAGTGTATTGTAAAAGCAGGAGATTTTAATTGAATTTTTTTATGTACAGAGATTTTATTGTTTGATTTTATTGATTTTAATTGAATTTCTTATGTACAGAGATTTTATTGTTTATGATTTATACCTGATTTGATATGGGTTGTGAGGCGCTTTGTGTTGCGTTGTGTAGGAAAGTCTACAAATAAGAGTTGATTGGGATAAAACCGATGGATTATTACTATTCTTGCAATTTTTTTTTGTCAGAGCAGAGTTTCGACCACTTCAATGTTTTTATACGTCACATAAAACTATTGCATTATTGTGCTTTGACGGAAGATCCATGTGAGATACTTGTGCTGAGAGCTGAGGGCTACGGTAGAGGTAATCCTCTGAGATTTAACTTTTGTCTGTAAAAAAAAGAGAAAAAACTGCAGTAGACTTGTCAAATATGTATGCATGTACAAAAAAATATTTGATGTTTGAAAATCAGGTACCTCAGCTTTAATAGGATGCTGTCTCTGAAGTGCCTTGTTAGTCATTTAACCACAACGTAAAATTCTCCTAGACTTTGACTTGTGACGTAAATGAATAAAAATGCTTGAAAATTAATCACATAGCTTAATAATATACAAACCTCTAAAAATGCATGGACACACATTTTTTCTTAACGTGACATAGTGCCATATGAATCAACTCCGAGGAGCACAGGGACTGGCCTCCTGCTGGTGCCAGAGTCAGAACTAAACATGGAGAGGCAGCATTAGATTCATGCTGCTAAAATCTGGAACAATCTACCTGAAAATGTGAGACAGGTTCAAGTTCTGCTTAGCTGTGCATACAACTCCAAGATTATGTTTTCACTCTTTTTAATGTGATTATTTAGGATTATTTTAAATGCCTTGTGTTATTATTTCCATCTTGTTTTGATACATTTCCTTGCGTATGAACTGTGCTATACAAATCAATTTTACAATGTTAAGCATAGGTCATTCATCCCCATCAGATGCGCACTATTCCCCATCCACACCGGTCTATATTTACAGCTCTAGAGCGCGTCTCCACAGCTCTACAGCTCAAGTGGGTTATTGTTAAGCCATCCCCTTAGTGCTTTCCTATTGTTTATACCCAGCAACCACAAGAGGGCAGCTGCGATCTTTTCTTAGCAGCACTTGTCTCTTCCCATTTGTTGATATGGCTTGGTTACTCTCTGTCAGGACGCGGGGAAAGCACCTTGCAATACGCGTCCTCATGTGTGTCTGAAACCTCCCCACGCCTCCAAAAAAATAAAAATAAACCAGACATTATATGACTATCTCTCCTCCTTCTTTTTGTTCTTCCATTTTTGTCTTTTTACGCACGTCCTGATGCGTGTTATCCATCACACCCCATGTTACAATTCATCAGACCGTCCTTGACAGCTTTCCCATATTTTTTTGGAGGTTGAACTGACTTTGTGGCAGAAAAAAAAATAAAAACATTGTAGATGAGTCATTGGGATAATAAAGTCCACCAGAAATGTGCGCGCTAGATTAGATGGAGAGAGGTGGGGGGTATTTGGGGGGGGGGCTGAGGTGAGACGGGGAGCAAGGTGTCTGGAGCGGGGTGGGGGACAGACTGGGAATTAGCATGTCTGTCTCGTTTTGTCTATTTCTTTCTTTCTTTTTGTTCTTTTTTTTTTAGGTGATGTTTTCCAGTTGGGGACATGCGCTCGGTGTCATATGAGGTGCAGCTATAGATTCCTTCACATTGAACGCCTCTCTCTGATGAACCATGGTTTAATAATAGGGGAGAATTTGCCATTTATCTGCATCATTCCAAAAACAAATGCACAATATGTATTTGTTTTGGCAAGAATGGCTAAACTGCTGTAATCTATGCGTATGCTGAATAGGAATTGCCACGTTTCCCGCCGTTTACTTTGGGCTTAAATTGTTTACGCCTGCATTGTTTTGAGAAGAATGGTGCAAGCGCGCGTGCCCCATGTGGATTACAAAACATATTGGCGCATTTTCCCTTCACTTGACACTCAACAAGTCCCTTATATTATACCCCTCACCTCCCCCTCTCCCCCCCCGTACACCCAAACCCCATCCCACGCTCCATTTAACATCTAAAATCAGCTACAAGTTCCCTTCTCTCCACCTTCTCTCCACCTTCTATATCCTTTTCCCCATCTCTGTGCGTAATATCTGAGCGCGCACCCGTCATGACTGGGGCCATCCCCCGGGCGACTCGTGTACGGAGGTATGGAGAGGATGATGATGATGATGAGGATGGTGATGACACGCTGCTGCTTCTCTCTCCCCGGGTCCATTATTGATGCGAGACGACGCCAGGCAGACTGCACTGTGCCACGGATTCCTGTAGCTTGCGCCCTTGACTCGCCGTGCGCTCTCTACTATGTGCACATACACAAACGCGCGCACAAGGAGACTGGACGATCCTTCGCAGTGACCAGAAGAGTGGAGAGGAGTGGAAAGGAGGAGGGAGTGAGTGAGAGAGGGGAAGAAACTTTGCCAGACGCGCCATGGGTTCATCTTAGCTCTATTCCCAGAGAAGAAGAGAGAAGATAGAGGGATTTCTTTCCAAACCAGCGAGGCGCAAACACTGGACTATATACAAACTTTTTATGCGTCGCTGCGTCTCACAGTGCGTCGTTGTTGCCGAAGTTCGCGGAAGTGAAATGATGGGGACTCTGCGCGACCTCCAATACGCGCTCCAACAGAAGATCGAGGAGCTACGGCAACGGGACGCGCTCATCGACGAGCTGGAGGCAGAGCTGGATCAGAAGGACGAGCTCATCCAGCGGCTGCAGAACGAGCTGGACAAGTACCGCTCTGTCATCAAGCCCGCCACGCTGCAAGTGAGCAAGCACAACCAGCTCCGGGAGCACCAGGCGCGCTCCAAGAGGCAGGCCATCTCCGCAGAGCCCTCCGCCAACATCCTGAGCCATGACAAGCTGCCCTTCTACGACAAGAGCGCAGAGTATGTATGTGGTGTGTGTCTGTGGTTCTCTGTGAGGACTGTCTGCTGCGTAATGTAGTCTATGCAGCAGCAGGCACAGCACCTGTGGCACAGATGGGGTTTCCAAAGTCATTTGAGGTGCTATGGGAATAATCGAGGGAAGAATAAGTGTGCGTGGTGCAGACACGCTTTAGTTTTAGTTTGGTTTGTGTACAACTATATGTGATCAAATACACGGACACATGAATGTGATACACTGTGATGTGATGGATGAAAACCAACACCACCAAAAAGGCTTAAAATATTGGGAAATATGAATATGAAGAGATCCTTTATTTGTCCCACAGTAAAATTCAGTGTTGCATAACAAGTTAGTTGGAAAGAGGGGCTCACAACACATGATAAGTGTATATTAAGTATAGAACAAGCCTTTACTCTTGCTTTATAAAGAAACCAAGTATAACAATTCCATTTATTTATGCAAGCCCCTTGAGATGAAAAGGGATGAGAATTTTTTTCCTCAAATTTCAATTACATTTATAAACAAGTACAGATATATGGTATAGATCTGTAATCTTGTACAGAGAAATTACTCGTACTTGTGGAGATAAGTATATAATACACTTGAATGCAAGAATATTGAAGTAATAATTCATTCGTTCAGTGGGATCAAATATTCACAGTGACAAAGCTCCTATGTCGGCGGCATGAGGATGATACTGGTAAAGTTACAGTGGATACGAGGCATACAATGATGAAAATTAGTTAAACATTTCTCAAATTTGGCAAAATGTATCCTAATTTGAACACATTTTGACTGCCATAAAACAAGATTTGCCAATGGGACAAAGCAAAATTATGAGAAATGTCTCCCTTGGAATGAGAAATGAAAGCAACAGTTCTTGAAATAAGTCTAAATCGCTTTGACCCATTGGCATATCTTGTTTTAAGACATAAAAAACCCCCTTGATTCCAGCAATCCTTATCTCATATTTTATCATTTATTGCAGTACATTCTGACATTATTGCAGAATATTTCACATATTTATAGCGTGTGAGGTCAGGTTGGCAGTGTACCTAACTTAAAACAAATGCAGCTGTGTAATAAAATCCGCTTTCTTCTATCAGTTTTCACATACATGTATTTTTGGCCTCTGTCACATCTTTAGAGCAGGAAAAGCCACTCACTCAGCCAGCTCCCAGCCCAAAGTTTCAAAAAGTGACTCAAAAGGCTCTTTGAAACGATAACTTGTTTTCTTTTAAGAGTAAGGCAGCATGTTGTGGTCTGATTTGTTCACCTCTAACTTTTCCTAGACTTTTCCAAGCAGAAAGAGGTTCTTTATGGGGAGAAAAGGTTTTGTACCCCAGCTTTAAGTGGTAACCTCCTTGTGAATTAAATTCAGGATTAAAACCACAAATTTAAAAAATGTTACAGAAATAGCATGAAAACAGAAGCATTGAAGACAAAAATTAAAATCTGGGTTTTGTCACTTTTGTATCTGCATGATTTAATACCTTGAAAGCCATGGATAGCATAGGCCTTTATAATTCACAATGTTGCTATAGTAACAGTATCCCCAGAAGCTTTGATTTCATGCTGCAACAGGTAACTCTGTGTAACTCATGAAAATCGCTCTATGCTTTTGCTGTTACCTCAGATTTCATACATTTTTTTTCAATTACCCGCTGGGAAGTACTTGTCTCCTCAAAAACATTTTCACAGAGCTTTCTTAGTCGTAATTTTTCTTTTTTTTTCTTTGCAACTTTCCCACCAAGAAAAGCAAGTCTTTGGAGAATAGAATCTTTCAAACCGTGCCACAGAAACTTCCCCAATGCCGCTTTAGACTTCCCCCGCGGCCTCTGCTCCAACCTACAACGCTAATATGAAATGCAAGTGCTGTTTTCTTTCACAATTGACCTCCTAATGCACTTTTTGCTTTGGATCGCTCTTGCTGTCGCTGGCACGGTCTTAAGTTAATGTGTGCGCACGTGTGTAGTGGAGCATGAAGGATCGATGCCCGGCTCGTAATCACTGTAGTAAAGTGTGATCGATCGCGTTTAGATTGCCCAGACGCTTTGCCTTCAAAAGTTTAAAGCAGTCGTCAGATCGGTTAAAGACACGTTACAGATGAAATCACATGATACGCAGATGCAAATATGACAGAATTTTCTCCTTTGCTCCTTTAAATAAAGCATATCTTATCTTATCTTATCTGAATAATTTCCATTTTGATGCTTATAGCGGTATAGGTTGGAATAATACTGTACTTGTGTTTTGATTAAGATTCTGTAATTTTTTTCAACAGTGGGGAATTTTCAGTGTTAAATCACAAGTTACAGAACAGTAGGAATGAGGAGCACACAATGAATAATAACTCTAAGTCTATAATCTCTAGCTTTAGCATAATAAAGAAGCAAGTATAAAATCTCTAGCTTTAGCGTGATAAGAAAGCGTCAATCTGTTGAAATCATATCTGGCTTCATCTTTTTTACTTTTTGCGTATTTGTAAGAAAGAGCCTTGTGAGTCAATATTTGATGCCTTGGGCTGAAAGCTGATTGGCTGGATGAGGGTGGTCTTCTCCTTCTTCACTTTTATTTCTGATAAAAGCTGATCTAAAGGTATGGAAACTAGTTCTGAGAGAGTCATTTGTTGCAGTCTGGCAAGAAAAGTGTGGTTAAGGGCTTCAAATATCCATCACTTAGTGACTAATACAGTCAAAAAGAGTATTCTGAATTCCGTTACCCCCCGGGACTCCCTGGATCAACTCAACTCAATACGGTGTGAAAGCTACCGGTGATTTTACTGCTCAAATATGTACCAAATTCTTACATTGTGTCTCATCACCCCACATTTTGACTGTAACTTAGCCCTAGTTCAGTCGTTTGCTTGTCTCTAGTTTTAAAGGAGAAACTTCAAACCAACCCTGTGGATCCTTCCAGCCAAAACTACATTTTTATAGGCCTATGCAAAAAAAGCGCCCACTCCAGCTAACATGAAGTTTGTATCTGCACTTGTTGAAAGTTTGGAGGTTACTTAAACGCATCGCTGTTCAGTGTAACACAAAGCAGACATCCAGTCCTGTCTGTTTATCTTCCCGAGTCTTCTTACCCAAACACCACTGTCCAGACTTTGACTGGAACTAAAATAAGAGCACAACTGTGAAATACTCTACTGGGCTCAAGAACACGCTTCCTCCGGGATTAAAGATCACAAATACTATTCGCAAAAAAAGAGGCCGTTCATATATGTGCTTTTGTTCAGTTCATGGGGATCCTTTTTGCCTTTTTTGTTGTTGTGTCCTTTGGCTAGTATCGCACCACACAAATACTGTACGTACAACATTGGCAGTGTCTTGGAAAATACAAATTGAACGTTTGCAAATGTTGTCATGATTGAGACCATAAACATAACATATTTTTTTTAGGATTTTTTTTGTCGGAAAAACCTTAACAAAGTAACAGACGACTGTGAAGTGAAAGCAAAGTACACAGGATTTTGAAATTACAAATACATAAAAATCTGAAAAGTTACAACATGAATGATTTTCTTTGTGGAACAAGTTTTGGATATGACTCGACAAGCTTTGCACATCTAGAGACTGACAGTTTATCCCATTCCGCATCACAAAACAAGTTAAACAGGTGGGCTATTGAATCGTTAGGGCATGGTGTGACCCTTCAGCAGTCATTTAGTCATTGTCAAAGTCAATGCATTACTACAAGAATACTCATGCAAGCCCATTTAAAAAAGAGAAAACATACAATGCTCTATTTTTGGACATTAAAAATTATATATTATTTACTTTATCATTTTATCTTTTAGAATGTGAAATATTATCTTACGTACCAATTATATGTACAAATAATTTCGACTTGTAACTCCCTATGCTTCCACCAGAGGGAGGAGTTTAATACTGTGTTTTTTTTCCAATTAGGCAATTACCGGCTGCAAACACACACACGTTATCGGAAAGAACATCATTTCTAATTTTGGGAAAAACTGCAAAACTGAGTGTGATGCCATTACACGACCTGACCTTTTAGACAGGGGGGCGGAGTTACTTGTTTGTGCCAGAAGTTCATGATGTTAGCGTGGATAGGACCTAAAAACCACTCCAGGTCTGTGACTGATGAGGAGCAATGACATGGTTAAAACCCCAAAAAAGTCAATTTTGCTATATGAGTCCAAACTCCCGGATCATGACCTTTCTGTTTGTGGTTGTAAACAAGACAAAATCTTCCTGGTTCAAGCTGTATTAGTAATTTCCGCCACGCTTCACAACTGACCTTGTACGCCGTCGTTCCAAATGCAGTAGACCAAAAACCTGCACTGACTTTTCACGAGAAGGAGATTGCACCATCCCTAATGAGAAAAGAGCCGTGGATACGTTTGGCATAAAATATGGGTCACGGGAACTCTACGCCCCACATTTCTGCTGGTGCTTTCTAATTTAAAAGTGGGTCGTGGCGTGTAAGGTTAAAAATGGATGACTATTGAGTTTAGGAGTTGACGATGCGTTGTGGTTTCTGAATACTGATAGATCGACGGCGACAAAAAAACAATGTTGCGTTTCATCTGCAGTTTCGCAGTTTCCTCGCACAGTCGTCTTTATTCATTCTGTCACGTTGTCACGACAAGGTGGTGTAACGTCCTGGCAACAACACAAGCCATTAGTCATTAGCGGAGATTGATAACTTTGATTTCTTCCAGACAACATACTCTATTCATTCAGAATCTCTCGCCCCCGGGGTAGACACAGTTGTGATTGAAAGTATGCAGAGATGTCCCAGTTATTTTTGCCTCCGTTTAAGAGATTGTGATTGATAACACCATTTTTTTTCTCAACTATTTTTATCAGTGATTGTGTAAAGCCGTACATCATCAAATAGACGTGTTTTCTATTTTCAAATTGTAAGGACAACTGCACAAATGAACCTTGTTAGAAGCTTCTTTCCCCCAGTTTACAGGTTTACAGGTGTTGGGGTCTGAACACCAGGTTCTAGCGTGGAAAGACCAGAGAGACCCTAGAGAGAGACCAGAGAGAGATGATAAAGATGATTGAAAGAGATTGGAGAGT